ATGGCATCTTCTATAAGACATTGAGGCCTAAACGTATGGCTGTATCACAGAGCACAGTTGTAGGCCTCCAGAATAGTGTCCTTGAGAACAGGATGCTGGTTTAATCTTGGTTCCTATTGGCATTATGTCAGAAAGGAGGACTTCAGCTCAGCTCCTGGCAAATTTCCACTGAAGCAGACTCTGATTCTGCCAGATGACCTGAACTGGGCAAAGGGCCTTCCATCAAGGAATACTTTTATTAATAGAGTGGATGAGTGAACAATTTCATTGGACAATTATACAGAGAGCTGGGAACTATAACCATGCAATGGTGAGGATAGAAAAGACAGGAACTCTGGACCTTTAGTTCCTTAGTCCATTTAGGATTTGGAAGACAGACCACCAAGTGGTCAAAAAAGGCAAGATGGCACTTGTAATGGTGCCAAAACATGTAAACACAATGTTTCTCCTAGGGGCTAAGCAATAAACTTCCATTTTAAATTGGGTTTTTCTGGCTCAGCAACCACTTTTCTATATTAGCAGGCCAGATTCGGTGGCCTTGGATGTTAATAGACCGAAAAATGATCATTTCTGTATTTTGCTTTTCTGGAATCATCCAAGTCAGAAATTCTGAAATGCTGTTATTGTATTAGAACTCTGCTCATGCTCTGAAAGCCAAGAGGATTAAAAGTAAATTACTGTGCTGGAGGGACCAGAGTGTTTTTTTTTAATTTTTTAAATTTAATTTAAAAGCCCATACACAAAGAATAAGGCCTTATCTTATGATTTATGATGAATGTATTTTTATGATCATGATTTATCACTTGTTGCTTGTAGGTACACTGAGAGCTTATGCACTGGAGACAAATTCCTTGAGTGTCCGATCACACTCAACTCTATTCTGTTCTGTTCTGTTCTGTTCTGTTCCGTTCCGTTCCGTTCTCCACTCCTTTCCCTACCTACTTTACTAAATGGGTTTTTGAGTTTTCAGAAGGAAGCCCTACTAAAATTTTTGCAATGGGCTACATTGTCCAGCAGTTAAGCTACTACTTGTGTTCTTAATGTATTTTATAAAGCTCTGTTTTATTTGCCAAAGCTCCCATGCTAAAACTTTGCAAAAGAAAATTCAAATGGGCTTACTCTTTCATATTTCTAGATTGAGAATCTCCCAAAGGTATTACTGTGCTTTTTGGTGATTTCACCGTCCCTTTTTTAAGGAGAATTCATACATCAAGACACACATACACAGCCAGAGGCAGAGGCTGCATTTGACAAAGGAGCAGGCTAGGCATATCATACTAAGCTCCAAAGCAGGCTCACATATCACACTAAACCCTGATGTGCTTCATTATTTGTGGTTTCCTATCTTGTGAAAACTCAGTCAACTGGAAGTGCAATATACAGCAAACTATGGATTTATGCAAGTGCATGAATCTATATAGCTTGTTTAGTTTCTGCTTAAGAAGCTGTCTGGATCCAGGTATTGGGAGCTTACTTCTTTAGTTTTTTCTTTAATTTTTATTCCACCTTTATTACTTTATAAGTAATTCAAGGTAATAGTAGTAAAGTTGGAAGGGACCTTGGAGGTCATCAAGTCCAACCCCCTGCTCAGGCAGGAAACCCTACACCATTTCGGACAAATGGCTGTCCAATCTCTTCTTAAAAATTTCCAGTGTTGGAGCATTTACTGCTTCTGGAGGCAGGCTGTTCCACTGATTAATTGTTCTAACTGTCAGGAAGTTTCTCCTTAGTTCTAGGTTGCTTCTCTCTTTGGTTAGTTTCCACCCATTGCTTCTTGTCCTGTTTTCAGGTGCTTTGGAAAATAGCTTGACTCTCTCTTCTTTGTGGCAGCCCCTAAGATATTGGAATACTGCTATCATGTCCCCCCTTGTCCTTCTCTTCGTTAAACTAGACATACCCAATTCTAGCAACCGTTCCTTATATGTTTTAGCCTCCAGTCCCCTAATCATCTTTGTTGCAGGTGGCAACATTCCTGATATTTATTCCTCCTCCTATTTCCCCCACAACAACAACCCCATAAGGTAAGTTGGGCTGAGATAGACTGTCTGGTCCAAAGTCACCCAGCAGGTTTATCAAATTTGTATGGCCTCCTATCTCACATACTGACTTCTGGGCGCTGTATAATAAAACCAGTAAATAAAATATTAATATATAATTATATATAATACAATTATATTCCACAGTTAGGTAATATAATATTTAATGTACGTATTATAATATTTAATGTATGTATTAAAGTGTTATTATTGAATTTAAATTATTAAAATATTTAACAATAAATATTAAAATATTCTAAAAGCCACTTAAAACAATTAAACATAAATAAAATCATGATCATAAGAGGGAATGCATCAGAATATTACACATGATGCATCTAGGATATCTCCAGGCCTGTTGAAAAAGGTATAGTCTAAGGCGGGGGTCTTCAACTTGGCTCTTTTATGATTTTGTGGACTTCAACTCCCAGAATTCCTCAGCCAGGCACGCTGGCTGAGGAATTCTAGGAGTTGAAGTCCACAAGTCATAAAAGGGCCAAGTCTGAAGACCCCTGCTTTAGTTCAATCCTAAGACACTGTCACAATTTTTGATCCTGCATCAAGAACAGTCATCTTCTGGTTTGGCACTTGCAGGCCTTAAGGAAGAAGAGCACAACCACAAAGAATCACTTTGCTTCTTTTTAGCCATGCTAATTTGCGACCATGTGGTTACAATCTGGAGTGCGATCATGAGCACACATTCATTATATATGTCCAATGCTAATTAATATTGATGTGTGACAGAAATACTCAGATTGCAGTCACTACAATATCTCCAAAGTAAGTTGAATGACCACCCAGAAGGCTAGACTCACCCAGCTTCCCCTATATTAAAAGTATTATTTTTTAAAAAAAAATTAAAGCCGCGGTGGATTATTTATTAAACAGAAACATAGAAAGCTAACAATAGAAAAAGACCGAATGGACCACCAAGTTTGCTCATTGAGGTTTTTTTATTGTTTTTGTTTTCTGTACAGTTCTCCTTGCTTTACAACGGTTCATTTAGTGACCGTTCATAGCTACAACAGCTCTGAAAAAAAGTGACTAATGACCATTTTTCAAACTTATGACCAGTGCAGCATCCCCACATTCACGTGATTTACATTCAGATGCTTGACAACTATTTCATATTTATGACGGTTGCATTGTCCTGAAATCATGTGATCCTCTTTTGTAACCTGATGATCAGGTTACAAAAGAGTCAATGGGGAAGCCGGATTCACTTAACAACTGTGTTATTAACTTAACAACTGCAGTGATTCTCTTAACAACTGTGGCAAGAAAGATTGTAAAATGAAGCAAAACTCACTTAACAACTGTTTCACTTAGCATCAGAAATTTTGGGCTGTTAGGGCCCTAAATTGAGGACTAACTGTATTTATTTACTTATTCATTCATTCATTCATTCATTATTTTTAATTTTTGTCAGAAGGTGGACATGTGGTTATCCTGAACAGGTTTAAAGTTCATTTACAGCAGTGGTTCTCAACCTTTTTAATGCCGCGACCCCCAACCGGCCGCAAGTCGAGGACTACTCAACTGGTGCAGCACCGTTTGCAGAATGGAACTTTTGGCGGGCTCAGCAGGGCAGAGACAGCCTGGACAATTCCTACTGGCTTTTGAAAGCCAATAGAATTAAACTCTATTCAAGAGAGTCTATTCTATTGGCTTTCAAAAGCCAATAGAATAAAAGGGAGTAGCACAGCTAAGGAAAAGGGGGGGGGAAGGCAGACTGCGTTGTTTGGCGACCCCCGTGAAATGGTCGTTCGACCCCAAATGGGGTCCCGACCCACAGGTTGAGAACCACCGATTTACAGTTTACCCAAGGTAGATTTCTAATATAAACACTTTTTGCTGTGCAAATTACCATATTCTTTGCACATGCACACACAAAGCATAAACGTTGTGAATCTACCTGCCTTTTGAAAACAGATTCCCCCCCTCCCCCCAAAAAAGGACATGAAAGAAAACTTGGAAATAATACCCTTTTGGTGCTTCCCATCTGCCCAATTCCCCCAGATTAGATTAGATTAGATCAGCGGGTGTGGAAGCCAGTCTAAGGTTCCCACTGAGGGAACTGCAGATTGGTATTGATTTCTCAATCCAGGTGCAGAAAGTCACGCCTCCCTCAAACATCTGTCTCCCGAAAGGCAGGCAGGCAGGCAAAGTGGGAGGGCTGCTTGTGGTGAGCTAAAGGTTGACTTCAGATATGATAAAAATTCCTTTTGCAAATCGGCGAGCAACTCCACCTCACGTGGGTTTTATATGTAAATATACATTCCAGTATTTCTCTGCAGCCCCCCCCCCTTTTTTTTTTTTTTTAAGGAATAAACACCAAGAAAAATGGCCCTGGGCAAAACGAAGCGCAGAAGCCCGAATCTGCCTCAGATTCACCTAAAACCATTTTGTGTAGGCGTTACTTTCCAGCAGGTATAATTTTTGAGTGCAAGTTAGGCATCCAACTCAGGTCTATTGCACGGGAACTATGGTTTCGCTGATCACGGTTCCGTCACTCCGAAGAACATTCAGAAATAAAACGGCTGTTAAACTATCAATCTGGGTTCCCCCAGCATGGCAAGTCACCAAAAGCAAATCAAACCCACAGTGGTTTAACACAGGGTGTGCCAATTACCCAACAAAGCTATTTCTGGTCATGTTTGCCTTAGCTCTCTGAACGTTTGAGAGTTAAGGTACTCTCTGTCCATGATCAGGAACACCGTCTCCTTCGCGAACCCCTCGCGCGTTCTGGATTAAAAAGGCGACGCGACCCGAAGCAAAGTCTGTCCTCCACTCGCGCCCAGCCCGAATTTCTTCCCGCTCAGAGTCCACTTCTACCGCCTTCCCCACGGCTAATTCCACAGCAGGTGACTCTGGGTTTCAACCAAGGCGGCAGCGTCGGGAAGCGAGCGAGCCCTTCCCCGCGTCCTACTCCCAATCCGAGGCTGGTCGAAGCCCGCGATTTACCTTTTCCTCGCCTCTTCTCTCAACAGCGGGGCGTTAAAATCCTACCAGCTCGCGAACGGCTGGAAAACCCAGGAATCCGTTCCGCCGAGACCACCTCCGGCTCTTGGTCCCGGCCGCCCGCGGCGGTGGAGAGCTGCACGGGCGGGAGAGAGACGTGGGAACCGGTCCTGCCGAGAGAGCGCCCCGTCCCGCTGCCCCCCGGCACGTAACTGGAGAGGGAGGGAGCGGCGCTCCGGAGTTGGCAGCCAGTTGCTCGCGGCTGATCTCATCCGGGATTTGCATAACCCCCTTTTTCGCGGAGCTGGCGAGGCGGGGACTAGCTCGCCAGTGGCCGGGAGGCGGCGAATGCGGAGCCGGGGATGCCTCCCCGCCTCTCTTCCCTCCTTTCCTTTCCTTTCCCTTTCTTTCTTTCTCTTTTTCTCTCTCTCCTGCTCCCTCTTTCTTTTTCCTTTCCCTCTCTCCTGCTCTTTCTTCCTTTTTCCTTTCTTTTCTTTCTCTCCTGCTCCCTTTCTTTTTCTTTTCTCTCTCCTGCTTTCTTTTTCTTTCTTTCTCTCCTGCTCCTTCTTTTTCTTTTCTCTCCTGCTTTTTCTTTTTCTTTCTTTTCTTTCTCTCCTGCTCCCTTTCTTTTTCTTTTCTCTCTCCTGCTTTCTCTTTTTCTTTCTTTCTCTCCTGCTCCTTCTTTTTCTTTTCTCTCTCCTGCTTTTTCTTTTTCTTTCTTTTCTTTCTCTCCTGCTCACTTTCTTTTTCTTTTCTCTCTCTCCTGCTTTTTATTTTTCTTTCTTTCTCTCCTGCTCCCTTTCTTTTTCTTTTCTCTCCTGCTTTTTCTTTTTCTTTCTTCTTTTTCTCTCTCCTGCTCTCTTTCTTTTTCTTTTCTCTCTCTCCTGTTTTTTCTCTTTTTTTCTTTCTTTTTCTTTTTCCTCTCCCTCCCGCTTTCTTTCTTTCTTTTTCTTCTTTCTTTTGTTTCTCTCTCCTGCTCTCCCTTTCTTTTTTCTTTCCTCTCTCTCTCTCTCTCTCTCTCTCTCTCTCTCTCCCTTTCTTTCTTTCTTTCCCCCGCGGCCCGCCGCTCTGAAATTAACTCGCGCGTTCCTGCCCAGCTGTCGACCGGCGTTATCAGCTCCCCCGAGAGGCCTCTGGCTTGGGGGGCGCCGGGTGTGCCTGCAAAGGCGGGAGGGGGAACCGAGCGGCGGCCACGCGGGATCTAAAAATCAAGTTGCGCCGCTCCAAAACTCGGACGGGTCTCCTTCCGGCTTTCCCGGGACCCCGCTTGGCTCTCTCCCGGGGCTTCCTTGTGAGACGGGGAGATTGCGTTTATCTTTCTTAGAGTTCCCATACAATCTGGTTTAGCAAAAGAGACAAGGGCCCTCCACGACTTGGATTCCCCCCGCCTCCCCCGCCCCCAACTAAAGGGAATGGATAGAGAGCGCCCAATTTACTATATAAAGGGTTTAGATTTAGCACTATCCGGGCGGGGAGAGCCTTGCAAATTACAAAAGAAGAATCTCTGCCCTCCCCAAGAAGCTTCCAGTTGCAAAGCCGACTCTAAATGATATAGGTTCTCCTGCTTGAGCATGGGTTGGACTAGAAGACCTCCAAGGTCCCTTCCAGCTCTATTCTGTTCTGTTCTATTTTAAAGAGAAGGGAAGGAGGAGTATTTATAAAAATAATAAAGGCGGGAAATAAAGAAATAAAATTAAATGTAGGACAGTATAGATAGTCCTTGACTTACAACCATTTGTTCAGCACTGGTTCCAAGTTACAATGGCATTTCAAAAGATACTTGCAGTGGATCTTCCCCAGTAAAGTAAGCTTTACATCAATTCAAACCCTGGTCACCTCACTGCTTGACTAATGCAAGGTGCTGTATGCAACGCTGCCCGTGAAGATTACTTGGAAGTTTCAACTGTCCAGAATGCAGTGGCAATAGCAGTAATAGTCATGATTTGTTGTCCATGTATTTGTGCTAAAGGTGTTTTTTTCAAAAGGCAACTGAACTTGCTATGTTTTGCTTGAAGGTGTTTTGCTTCTCATCCAAGAAGCTTCTTCAGTTCTGACACATCTTCAAGCAAAACAAAGAAGATCCCCCCCAAAAAAAGCAACTTTGGGACAACCATGACTGAGAATCTCCATAGATATGTCCCTTTATTATTATTATTATTAATAATAATAATAATAATAGTAGTAGTAGTAGTAGTAAAGTTGGAAGGGATCTTGGAGGTCATCTAGTCCAACACCCTGCTCAGGCAGGTAATCCTATACCATTTTGGACAAATGGCTGTCCAGTCTCTTCTTAAAGATTTCCAGTGTTGGAGCACTCAACGCTTCTTGAGGCAGGTTGTTCCACTGGTTAATTGTTCTAACTGTCAGGAAGTTTCTCCTTAGTTCTAGGTTGCTTCTCTCCTTGATTAGTTTTCATCCATTGCTTCTTGTCCTGCTTTCAGGTGCTTTGGAGAATAGCTTGACTCCCTCTTCTTTGTGGCAGCCCCTGAGATATTGGAACGCTGCTATCATGTCCTCCCTCGTCCTTCTTTTCATTAAACTAGACATACCCAATTCCAGCAGCCGTTCCTTATATGCTTTAGCCTCCAGTCCTCTAATCATCTTTGTTGCTCTTTTCTGTGCTCTTTCTCGAGTCTCAACATCTTTTTTACATCGTGGTGACCAAAACTGGATGCAGTATTCCAAGTGTGTCCTTACCAAGGCAATGTAAAGTGGTATTAACACTTCATGTGATCTTGATTCTATCCCTCTGTTAATGCAGCCTAGCCTGTGTTGGCCTTTTTGGCATCTGCTGGCTCATATTTAGGTGATTTGTTTTACATAGGGTTCTGGGCAGCATATAATACAGCGGTTCTCAACCTATGGGTCGCGACCCCATTTGGGGTCGAACGACCATTTTACGGGGGTCGCCAAACAACGTGATCCGCCATTCCCCCCCTCGGGGCGCATGCGCGCCGCCGCCGTGCACACATGCCGCGCATGGGGCACCACTGTGCATGCACGCCACACATGGGGGCGCCACCGCGCATGCGCGGCATGTCCGTGTGACGGGGGTCGCCGTCACACAAACGTTGAGAAACACTGATATAATACAATAACCAAAAGCCCCATTAATCTAAAAATAAATAAAAGCGATAAACAGATGAAACACAAAAAGTTATATGCCCCATGTAAACACCTCGGGTGGTAGTTGGTTTACTACCAGGTGCAATTCAAAGTGCTGGTCATTACTATAAAGCTCTACAGAGCCAGTTTGGTCTCATGGTTAGAAACCTGGAAACTAAATTCTAATTCAGCCTAATGGGTGAAAGCCAGTTGGGTGACTTTGGGCCAGTCACTCACTCTCTCTCACAGGATGGTGGTTGTGGAGAAAATAGGAAGTTTACCCCTGTGAGTTATTTGTAAAAAAATAATAATAATAACTGGTATACAAACAAATGAATAAATATGATATTGGACCTGTTTATTTAAGAACCACTTTTCTTCCATATCATCTGCCTGGCCAATGCTATCTATCGGTAGCAGGGTTGGTGCAATCTGGATTTCTTCAGTTAAATAATGTCACCTATTAGAATCCTGGAAATGAACACCTCTATAGCAGCACCTGTCCTCTGGAATTTAGATTTCCCCCTCAACAAAATCTAGATGGTCCCCCCTCTGCAGTTGTTTAGAACAGGGGTCCCCGGCCTTGGCAACTTTAAGACTTGTGGACTTCAACTCCCAGAATTCCCCAGCCAGCCGTGGGAGTTGAAGTTCACAAGTCTTAAAGTTGCCAAGGCTGGAGACCCATGGTTTAAAAGATCCATAGACCTTTGGCAAGGGAGAATGAAACCCTTGACTTCATCATGCTTGACATCTTTTATCTTTATCTTTTTATGGTTTACTGATTTTATTGTAACTCTTTGATTGTTGTGAGCCACCTCCTAGGGACATTGACAGACAGATGACATACAGGTTTAAATAAAGTTATTAATACCACTGAATCTGACATTCTATCTTGGACATTCATCAAATCGTGCAATGTTCCTACGTCAGGTGTTTTAGTCAGATTTGGTACATGGCACACTTTGATGGGGCTAATAATAACAACAATAACAATGACAATAACAACAACAATAATAATAATAGAGTTGAAGGGTCCTTGGAGGTCTTCAAGTCCAACCCCCTGCTCAGGCAGGAAACTCTATACCAGCGGTTCTCAACCTATGGGTCGCGACCCCATTTGGGGTCGATCGACCATTTTACGGGGGTCGCCAAACAATGTGATCCGCCATTTTCCCCCCTCAGGGGGCGGTGCCGCGCACGTGTGCCGCGCATGGGGGCGCCGCGCATGCGCGGCACGTTTGTGTGACGGGGGTCGCCATCACACAAACGTTGAGAAACGCTGCTCTATACCATTTCGGACAAATGACTGTCCAGTCTCTTCTTTAAAACTTCCAGTGTTGGAGCATTCACTGCTTCTGGAGGCAGATTGTTCTAACTGTCAGGAAATTTCTCCTTAGTTCTAGGTTGTTTCTCTCTTTGATTACCACCCTGAACCACAAATTAAGCACTCTGTCGAGTCTATATACAACACAGTAAGTAAATGTGGTTAGTTACTTCTGGGGAACCCACCACTGGGTTCATGTCCAGGTAAGAGTAGGGTTGCATTTTGGTTTATTTTATGCTTTCTAATTTCTAATTTTCTGGAAGAAGTCTCTTCATAATACCCATGTATAAAGAAGAGAGGGTGGGAGAGAGAAAGTCCTGTAGCATCTTATAGAATAACTTATTTTTGTCTTTTCTGTTAATATAAACATGTCAGAGAATAGATGGAGAGAGGAAAGCAGATCTAACAGCAGCTAGAACTATTAACCAGTGGAACGGCTTGCCTTCAGATGTTGTGGAACAATGGAAGTTTTTAAGAAGAGACTGGACAGCCATTTGTCTGAAATGGTATAGAGTTTCCTGCTTGAGCAGGGGGTTGGACTAGACGACCTCCAAGGTCCCTTCCAACTCGGTTATTCTGTTTGTCAGAGAATTGAGGCCCAGTTGCTACTGGCCCCTTCAGGCTGACCCCCTCACTGTCAGCAACTTAATCTGGTCAGGTTAAGCTCTTCTGACTTTGGGGCTATGTCCATTGAATCATCTTGGAAACTATTGTAGATTCATTTGGAAAAAGGAACATGACACAGAGAGGATTTTACATTAAGGGCTAAAAAAACAGGGAGGAAAAGGGTGCAACCCCCATTTTGTTTGTTTGTTTTATCCACTGCCCAAGTTGTAGTTTTTCCACTGCTTTATCCCAATTTGTTTTGTTGTTTTCCCAGTTTGTTTTCCCTCTTGCCAGTTGGATTTACAGCCCTGGGCAGGAAAATCCCCAGAGATGATAAAAAAAAAATCTCAGAGGGTTGTGACAGTGGTATGATTGAGGCTCCACCTACTTTTTATGTGTGTTGTGTGTACGACAGACATAAAAGACAGA